CCCAGTATTACTTAAGAGTAAATATATTACAGTTAATTGGTGATAGTGATAGCGTGAAAACTAGCAATATTAATTTATGACGTTGAGTTTCCAAATAAGGTGTAAAGTTAATAGAACCCTATCAGTGACGAATTATTTATCGCTATCAAGTGTTAAATTAGAGAGATAAACTGGTAGGAAAATAAAATAATACCACGTGAAAAAAAGTTACAACTAGTTTCTGCTGGTCACGTATACGAGTAACTTCGTTAAAGAAGTCTATCAGGCATGTACTGCACGACCTTTTTCTAATAAAGCCGTGTTGTGATGGGTCTATTAGATCTTCCTTAAGTAGGTGATCAGATAGTTGATTTTGTATCACTTTTTCATTATGCGTGATATGACTAGAGTGATATTTATAGGTCAGTAGTTTTCAACCAGGTTTCTCGGTCCAGATTTGTGTTTAGGAAGAACATACGTTACCTTCCAGGTTTCCGCGTATGTACCCGTCTCTAAAGATAATGTGTATATTTTGAGTAGTAGCGTCTGTATGTCCGGTCTTGACATTTTATAAACGATTGAAGGGATGTCATCGGCATCAGAACTCGCATTTGGCGTAAGGGTTTTAATGGCGGTATGTATACTCCTAATGTCGAAGTTTATGGTACTAAGATAGCTTTTGCTGGTGGACTTTATGTCGATGTCTGGAGCATCAGATGTGTTCCCATTGTGAGAAAACCATTCACTTAATAGTTCACATATGACGGTTTGGTCATTATACGTTACTCCATCGTGCAGTAAGTAGTGAATGTTGTGGTCTGTGTTCTTTCTTATGCGATTCGTGAGACGACATAGGGCTTGGGCTTTAGATGCAACAGTGAGCGCAGTACGTTCCTCTACCTGTTTACGCTTGTTGTGTTGACTTTGTACTCCGTCAAGTACAGAGTATATCTGATTCAGGGCACTGAAGTCTTTTGATATATAGTACATCCTTTTCAGTTTTCGCAGTTTAGACCTAATCTTTTGGTTAATATAGGGAGTAATTGTTTTAAAACCAATTTTAGAGAGTATAGTAGTGTCTAGTGCAGATTTGGTAGTAGTATTGAATATTTCTAATGTTTCTAAGAGGTTATCACTGGTAATGAAACTGCCCCAGTCAGAGTGCTTTATTAGAAATCGAAAGTTTTCCCAGTCAGCATTTGCATAGTCTCTATATTGGAAACGCGTATTAAATATCTTTAATTTGTTGCATATGGCAAGAATCGTAAGGGTGCAGAGGACCATTTTATGATCGCTGTTGTGAAACTTTTCGCCAACCACCATTGATGTTGGTGTGACATTATGACAGAATATCAAGTCAAGAATGTTATGATTTCGTGTAGGCATGTGTACATGTTGTTGCCAACCGTGTATGTCGAAGGACCTAAGTATGCCTTCAAAGCACAATGGGCCAGAATTTGTCGTCCAGTTGATGGTGGGAAGGTTGAAATCACCACATACAATTTTGTAAGTGAAGTCAAGCGTGGCAGCCTGAGCAAATGACTCACTTAAAATAGTGTCATTTGAACTAGGAGTGTTAGGAGCTCGATATATGCATCCGATTAGTATTTTACATTCATGAGTGTGCACAGTAAGCCATATCGATTCAGGAAGTTTGCTGAGGAATTGGTCGCTATAGATTTCCGCCCTCAACTTTTTTGTTACATAAACAAGACAACAACCACCCTTCTTGGAGACTCGATCACAGCGGAAAAGCTCATAGGTGTCTATTTGTAGAAATGTTTCTGTGGTATCGAAGGACAGCCAACTTTCCGTTATAAAAACAAGTGAGGTGTTGTTTAAAAGTAAAAGAGTGCGTAGGTGAGTCATCTTACTTTGTACAGATCGAGCATTGATTAACATAAGTGTCAGGTACGGCGACTGTTTGTCTAGTAGAAGGGTATGATGTAAACCCAGTGGATTGTCTGTTTTGCAACGAGAAAAGGAAGAATTGGGAGCGTCGACTCCATATTGATGAGCGTTTAGTTTATTACCAGTAGGGTTAATGTGAGAAGGGTAGTCGGGTGTTGTTTTGGTGAAAGAAGTATGTCTAGGAGTGGAATGGTTAGGTAATGTGTCTGAGGAATGATCATTGGGTTCAGTCAAGGAGTTTTCAAGACTAGAGACAGTTATCGAAGTTGAGAAGGATGTGCCACTCCCCATTAAATCCGGTTTTTCATCGAGACACTTAAACAGCTCCTTTCGAATAACCTTTTTTAAGATTTTAACAACCACATTAGTTAGGCTAACGGGTTGGTAATTCTCAGGTTTATGTCCCATACCTGTTTTGAAGACAGGACTTACTATGGAGTTCTTTCAGTTTTTCGGTGAGCAACCTTGGGTTACGGATAGGTGAAAGTATATACTTCAAGGATTCGCAAAGAAGTTTGCTAATTCCTTTAATAACCTGGGATGCAGTTCGTCGGGCGCGTGGATTTGCTTATGTTCAGCTTATTTAGTATACCAAATATATCGAGTTTTCTAATGGTCGCGCTGTCCAGTGTTTGTGTGGGGGGATTTGTATGCGCTGACGGGAAGGCCATTTCTATGATTCGTGCATTGCTGAAGTAGTTTGAGAATGCTTGAGCGTTGCCAAAGTCGTCCTCCACTAATGATAAAACAGTACTGTTGTAGTGGTATTGGACAATAGCCACACAATTCACAAAGCTGTGAACACGAGACTACTCAGAAAATAGATATTCAATATTTAACGCGGAGAAATACCTAACAATGGAGAAGGCGCGAACAATGAATTGAATGGACTGGAGTTGATCGGATGGCATGGCTCGGCCATGCAGGCGTGGTCTCTGCTGAATGTTACCTTATATCTTCTATTCATATTAAATATATTGTTCTTTCTCTAGCCTAACCTTGTTCTACACCAAGTATTGGTAATTGATACGATACAGTGAGTTGGTGTAGTCGATGGCGTGACTTCCACGTAAGATCTTATAGATTAGGCAGTTATATCATGACAAATCTACAAATTTAGGATTGTCTATTATTAGAGCAGTACTAATATCATAGTAGACCATAAATTCTACACTGTTTCATCATAGTATTGAAATATTTCCTCATCTTTTTGTCCTTTGGTTTATATAGGAATACAAGAGTTTAGGACATTCTATGGAATCGTCGACACTTATATCTTCTTACGACTTTCTAGATTAACGGAGGGTCGAGGTACAAGTATTCCAAGCTTCCGAATATTGAGATTTTATCGAGTCAGTCCCCATTAACCTGAATCTATCCCGTATTCTTCTCTTAAGGAGAAGGGGGCGAAACTTCCTTCGGAATCATAGTGGATAGTTTCTAGGCTCCCTTGGTGTAGTCGAAGCGATGTGTCGTGCATTAACTTTTAAGTATAAATTGAGGACTCTGGCTCTATTGTCCAATCTACTGACGATGCTGTGTATGAGATCTTATATATTTGCTTTCCAGACGCTAGGTCTGGAATGAGCTGAAGCGTGCTCGTGATTGACAGTTATAGGCAAGTCGAAAGTTAAAACCGCATGATCAGTTTTATCTAGGGGTGGCATGTAATGCAGGTTCGTAACATAATCCTCATAGTAAGTTTATATGAGATCTAGTAAGGATGATTCAGAATTCGGGTCGTATCTATGATGTAATAAATGCAAGATCTCATGTACCTCCCAGCCTGAACAGCGATAGACTAAACCAATCAGCGGCTCCTGACCCTTGCATTTCAAGCGGCAACTAACTAGTTCACATATCCCACTCTCATGGGATACACTGTCGATAATTGCAAATGGAATAGCATTCCTAATAAATAGAGCTACTCACCCTCTTTTACGCTTCTGGATTCTGTCGGCTCTTAATAACGCAAAACCCTCGAAATCAAGTTTTATATTATCTATAGACTGCGTCAGACAAGTTTCTTTGAATGCGATTATATATGGATTTGTGGAGTCAATCTGTACACCTAGTTCCTACAGCTTATTGAGCATGCTTCGGGCATGGTTTCGTGCTGCACCCAGAGTGACTTTGGCATCATTCCATACCGAAGCCTCACAACTCAAAAATTTACAATTTTAAGGTCCTCTTCTCCAGCATCTAACCTAGGTCGTAGTTCTCTTTTGGCATTAGTGTAACAGATCCGAAGCCTATTTTAATGGCTTCGTGCTGCATTTACCATTGAAATGGCCTCAGTTAGTAAGCTGTTTGCGTCCGAACAGCATTAGTGACAAAGCCTTATGCAACCGTTTGAAAGCCGCAGGCGTCAAATTCGTGCAAACCCCGTGGCACCAGCCTTTGCACTCATCGCACTGCATGTCACTCTCAACGGGATAACGATTGCTCGGACGTTGGCTTTTGCGTTTTTGCACTGTCCAGTAAACAAACAGGTCATTAAAAAACTAGATACAATAGCACCGAGACAAAAACGATGTATGACCAAAATAGGGGAAAACTGTAAATTGTTAGAACCAAAAGTACTAGCAAATATAATAGAAAATAAAGTACTCAAAAGCACCGATGACAAACTAATTTAGAAACAGAAACGATACTCTAATCGAATTCTTTAACCAAAATAAATCCAATCAAAGTGAAAAAAGTAGTCTTGATACGTAATAAACGATCAAAACAATATAATTTACTCAGTAAGGAAAAATACCATCGATCTTTTAATTAGCGCGCGCACAAAATCGAACACACTTCGTAGCTTACTTAAAAATGACTAAAAAAGGCCGTAAGTTTTCTATCTTACATGCACAGATTTGAGTCTAAACTCAGTCCCTCAGTCTTCTGTCCTTATCAAACTTTTTCCAAAGGGCAAACATTATAAAAACGTTTTGCGTATTAGCTATAACCTGAGATCTGCACGAAAATACGAGTTACAGAAACATGATACATATTAAACATATGAACGTGTTGAGAGTTGGGTTTTTACAGCTTTCTAGTCATTACTTTGCTTTTAATGAGTGGTTGACGTTTTGTGTGTCACATTTAAAGTTGCTAGTACAATGGCCGCTGAGATGAGTTCTCGATCTGTAAAGCAACCTGATTCAACTTGGGAATACTGTGGTGTGAATTTAACCATTCACAACATTATTATACCTGAGGAGCGTTTATTTCCTACCCCGTCGCAGCTGGACAAAATGGAATATGAAACGGAGATTGACTTACGGATTCTTGGGTGCGAGTTAATCCAAGACTCTGGGGTTTTGTTACGACTGCCGCAAGTCGCTATGGCAACTGCGCAGGTATTGTACCAGCGCTTCTTCTACTCCAAGTCATTTGTCCGTCACTTCTACGAGGTAGGTGTTGTGTCTGGTAACCTGCTTCCAGCATTACGCTATGGCATGTATATTTCTGGCTGCAAAGCTTGAAGAATCTCCAAGACGTATTAGAGATGTAATCAATGTTTTTCATCATATAAGACAAGTTCGGGATAAAAAGTATTGATGTATGCAGTATTGACTTCTATTTCAGAACACCAACACCCGTGATTCTCGATCAAAGTTACAGTAATCTTAAAAATCAAGTTATCAAGGCTGAACGACGTGTTTTAAAAGAATTGGGATTTTGTGTCCATGCCAAACATCCTCACAAGGTAATCTAACCTGACATAATCCATATTTTGCAGCTTGTTATATGTTACTTGCAGGCTTTGGACCATGAAACTAACAAAAACCTTGTACAAGCTGCTTGGTAAGTTAATTGCGTTTGCGTAAAAAAATAGCCGTGGTATTTCCAACTCTTTAAGGCGTTTTAGTATGGTCATATGTAGTACTGTTTGCGTTACAATTACTCATTTATTGCTTTTTTAGCACTCACCCTGGATAAGGCGATTTACCAGTCAACTAGAGAAGTACTTAACTTCTAAACAGTTTATGTTAAACGGAAATAGATTTGAAATATCAGTTTCGGCATAATAATCTGAAAAATTGAAATTAAGGGTTATTTGAGTAGTCGGGTGTCATAATTAGAATATAGGGTTGTGGTTTACATAAACTGAAGCTACCATAAAGGTGCTTTGTACCAACATGGATGGACTAATTCGACGTGGTATTCCGGAGTGTTTTGGTTAGTGTCTGATTAGCTCGAATCAGCTAAAATTGTAATGCCGTTGTTTTTTTAAATGACTAGAGCTAGTAAGGTTATGTTCATCAGCTGATTACTTATTTATTTGTCAACTAAGGTCTAATCGGGTGTGATTCAGGCACAAACTTGATAACGTCTCAAATAGCACAAATTACGCCAAACGTGCAATTAACAGTTGGATGTCAATTTTTTTCATATCAAACTAAAAACACGCCGTCTCTCGCCACGTAAAGTCCTTGGTATCCCGGTCCGAATGGGTTACTTATCTCAGTAATGCAACCAAAATATTTTAGCGGGAACATTAGTTGCTTTAGGTCTCACTATGTCAGGATTGGGTAGTGAACGGTAAGATCGGAAACAGTAGTGTAAGTTCCGAAAGCGATATCCTGCCGCTGACTTATGGTATGATCGAAGTGTAATGTCTTATAAAACCAGTATTCACATCAATGCCGCCGTATAACGGTGGTAGAGGGTTGGGGAACGTCGGCCCCGAAAACAACATACATAATCTTGCCTCACGTATTTAATTCGATGAAGGTAAAGCCTTAATATCATAGAATAGACACCAGAAAGTATTCTCAAAATCTGTGTAATTTACCTCAGGATGCTATCATTTAGGTTCTTCAGGTATGCATCCAAATGTTTAAGACAACTGACGACTAATTTCTCAAGAAAAAGCACCCCTTTACAATGTGGGCCCATGTATCTTCGCTTGATCGTCATCTAAATCTTGATCTAAAATATTTTCCTTATTACTAAAGACATTTTGTGGTAGTAGTCAGTCGGTACGTTGTAGCTGACTGTCTTTAGTAATAAGGGAAATATTTTAGATCAAAATTTAAATGACGATCAAGCGAAGATACATGAGTCCACATTGTAAAGGTACTAAGTTTCTTCCCTACCTCTACTTCATTTAATAGATTATCATCCAATTGTCAAGATACGCAAGACGGCCTGATGAAAGTTGGAAGGTTGATCCAAGTTACCTTTCGAAGTGCTTCAGGTGTTGTAAGCACCTTGAAATACTAATAATGTGTAACCAAGCCTTTGGATTGCTTTGGTGGTGTTAGGCTTTGTTGTTCTAGGGACAACCATCCCTAAACAGTTGACAGTTGTTTCCGTTTCGGTAGAGCCTCCAACCACTAACTTTATGTAGGTTTCGCAAAATCTTCGTGGTTACGTTTGTGACCAGTCAAACATCAAGAATAGTCTTCAAAAAAAGTTGTCCTGCTAAGTTAAGAAAGATTTCTTACCATCCTCACGTCTTATTAATGCTACAATTGCTTATCTGCGCTTCTCAGTTCAGCTTAATTTAATTCCAGATTACATTGTTATGTGCAGCTAATCTGGTTACCATATGTTGAAACGTAAAAATCGTTTGAAGTATAACAGTCTGAATTCAGACAGGTTCTCCAAAAAGGACTTTTCTGTACACATATCCACATGGTGGTACAAAAATGCTTCTATTAAGTTACAGTCGTTATTTATTTGTATTACTCGTCGTACTGCTGACTGTACAGGGGTGTGACAGCAGTAAGGTGTTTCCTTCAAACAACCAGCATGACAGCGATGCTACCTTCCCATAAGGAGGGGTGGGGTTAGAAAATGTCGACCCTAAAAATCCACACCTTGCCTTATCCCACGGATATCCGTCTCAGGCGGTAAGGTCTCAATAAGTACGGAGCTAACACAAAAATTACCCATAACAAGGTCGTGTGTGACCGACCTCAAGCAGTTGGCCCTTTGGGCATTGCGGTCAAGCTCTCAGGTCACTAAGACCACCTCTAATCCAATTTCATTTTCAGGCATCTCCAGAAGAACATTTCCACGGTATGGGCAGCCGGGAAGTGATAACCGCCCTCATACCTCTAACAGCACTGAAGACCACTGTATTCATAATCAACTTCCTTCTTCAATTCCTATTATTCCTCTTACATCGGCTTTCACCTCTAAAGCTCCCTCGGCTTCCGCCTCAAGTGTCACCTCAGCCAACGATTCTAGTGCGCAAAACATAGATCTACTGATACCTCGCTCCAAACTACACATTGGAGCCTTCAACGTACGCACTCTATGTCAAATCGGTCAGCAGACTTCCCTGGCTAGAACCCTAGAATCTCGTACCATTGATGTGTGCTGTTTCTCTGAAACACGCATACAGGATCCTAGTGTGTCATTCACTTGACCTCACTTCGACAAAACGGAGAGCCAACGAGATACCGTCCGTGTATCTGGTGACCCGACGACCAGCTCTCATGGACTGGCAGGAGTAGGGATAGCACTAAGCATGAGGTCGAAACAGGCACTGTTAGAGTTGATCCCCGTTAACAGTCGTTTATGTGCTGTTCAGCTAAACGCCTCTGTAAGAAGTCGGAAGGATAGGGACACACGTCGTTGCTTTTTCGTCGTTTCTGCCTACGCTCCCACCGACTGCAGCTCAGATGAAGTGAAAGATGAATTTTACAGAAAGCTAAACGCTTAGACATAGTACTCGTAGCAGGTGCTCAGATAGGTAGTTTAAACCAAACAGAAAGGCATTTAGGTGAGTATTTTAGTATTCCGACATACCGAACAGATAATGGTGATCGTCTGCTGCAACTATGCTCAGACAATCGTTTATTTTTAGCAAACACAAATTTTAAGCATAATGAGAGACATCGTCTAACATGGCGACCCTCTACACCAAACCAACGATGGACTCAAATAGACCATATTGCCATCAGTCATCGTTGGACGTTGGGTCGGTACAAGATTGTCGCTCATTCTGGAGTACCTGCTTGGACTCCGACCACGCCCTAATACGGGCACGCATCTGCTTGCGCCTCACTGGACGCAAAAAAGGCACACTAAAAAGACCCAGAAAATGTGAATGGAACATTGAAGTAGGTCGCCAACTCTTGCTGAAGTTGAGAAGGCTATAGTTAATCTGAAACGAGAAAGGGCAGTTGGTCCAGATGGATTGGCTGCAGAGGTCTTTAAGGATGGTGGTCCAATTTTAGCGATTGGGTTAACTAATATTTTGGCTAAGATCTGGGATTCCATCTGATTGGTCACAATCACTTATCGTCCCAATATATAAGAGAGGGTTAAAATCATCTTGTGACAACCATAGAGGGATTAGTTTAACTAATATAGTATCTAAAATACTAGCCTCAAAAATTATCAGACGCCTAACTAAGACTCGTGAACTGCGAACACGAGAGAACCAAGCTGGCTTCAGACCTGGTCGTGGCTGCATCGACCACATATTCGCCATTCGTCAGGTTCTAGAACACAGGCATACTTATCGGCGTCCGACAATGGTAGTCTTTCTTGACTTAAAAGCAGCATTTGACTCTGTAGACCGCGAGATTCTGTGGCAGTGTCTGTCATTGAAAGGCGTACCTCAGAAGTACATAAACCTTGTAAAGGTGTAGTGGCTGTGCTTCGATAACTAATCACCCTCGAACCGTTGTCGTATAGTCTTCAACGCTGTTCGAAATCAGAAGGTAAGAAAGAGCAGCTACTACAGTTTATTTAGCAGATAATTCGGACTAGACAGCAGAGAGGCAAAACGAATGAGCAAGCAAACTACGATTGTAGCAGTAGTAGTGTAAATGTGTATATATATATATATATATATATATATATATATATATATATATATATATATATATATATATATAGGGAAGTGGATGGGTCATCGAATAGATTAAGCAGCTATTAATGAAGCTAGCAGAATGAATACATGCGTAGGCGCTAAACAATGTTCAAGCAAATGTATTTCATATAAGCACAATAATAATAACAGTACAAGTTGTTATAGCATGGATGACTTTGTCCATTAAATAGGTCAACTAAAGACCTTGACTGAACTAAACTCAATTACACGTGAGTCGCTATAAAGGCTCTTTACTCGAACACTACTAGTCGAGTCAGGGCTTATGGCGAACTGTCATCTATTTTTGCAACCTCAAGTGGTGTCCGTCAAGGCTGTCCACTTTCTCCATTTTTGTTTAACTTCATCATAGACCTATTGATGGAAATAACATCCTCGTTGACTGAATTCTCGAGTGTTCATCTCCTCTCAGGCAGTCCACTTATCGACTTAGAATACGCAGATGACATAGTCCTGTTTGGTGAAGACGCTGACAAAATGCAGTCTTTTGGTAGCACTGAGCAACAATGCCAGAATGTTTGGAATGCGCTTCTCTCCCTCTAAATGCAAGTTGTTGCTTCAGGACTGGCCTGCGTCAACACCTGAACTAAGGATAGGGAGTGAAGTAGTCAAACGCATCGACCACTTGACTTATATTGGAAGTCTGATCAGCCCTGATGAGTTGGTGTGTGACGAAATCTGTACACAGATTCTAAAAGCTCGTTTGGATTTTGCCAACTTACGTCACCTATGGCGAAGGCAAGGTATCCGTCTATCAATAAAAGGACGAGTATACTGCATGGCAATCCGTTCTGTTTCACTTTACGGCAGCGAAACATGACCTTTAAGAGTGGAAAACACTCGTAATCTACTAGTATTTGACCACAGATGCCTTCGAAATATTGCTGGCGTCTGTTGGGATCACCGGGTAAGTAATAGTGAGGTTAAACGCAGGGTATTAGGTAATGACGGT